GTGTGTGTGTGTGTGTGTGTGTGTGTGTGGGGAAAAGTGAACGAAGAGAGGAGGGTGGAGGAGTCGCTTGCCGGCAGCGGCGCATCCGTTTGTGGGGACTCTCCCTACAATGAAGTCCAGATGTGCTTTAAAAAAAAAAAAAAACAGCCGCCTTCTTTTTCCTCTGTGACCTTGCTGAGGCTTTTTTTTCAGCTTGGAGTACGTCCGAGTGTAAAGCTGTGAAGGAGCGGCAGCAGCTGCCTGCGACCTGAGGGTGACCCCGGGTGGACGAATCACGCAGGGGTTAAAGGATGAGGCCGACCGCTTCTGGTGGGCAGCGAACCAAAACGTCTGATAAGCTGAGATTTTCCCTTTAATTTCATTTGGGATTTAATTTTCATTTCCACAGAAACAGCTTGTGTGGGCATTTTTGGTAACTGCACCGCAGGTGATCCACCTCTTTGTAGCCAAATCTTTAAGTCGCCACACACACACACAAACAGCAAGAAAAAAAATATTTAAAAAAATCAACTGTCTTCACCTCAACTTTCCTTTTGCCCTGCTGTGACAGTATACAGCCCCCTAGAGGCCAAGATGGGGATATATCATCCCGAGCTGCTTTCTCACCCACAACCTTCAAAGCAGCAGTAAATGTATCATGTGAGTTAACTTACGTTTGATTTTGAGTCCTGTGTCATCATCGTCTGAGTCRCTGTCAGACTCAAACAGACCCTTGAATTCCTTCTTGTCCTCCGTTTTTTTCTCTTGGAACTTCTTCCGATTGATCTCCGGGAAGTTCAGGTCCTCCAGCTTTACAAAGCAGCACACACAAGCAAGTTACTTTTAATGGCTTCTGCGATGATCGTAACTGTCCTGCCAGTGAAATGTTCCACTATGCAGCACGACTGTTTGGTGATTAATAAAAAAAAAAAACGGTTTGAGATTCACAAAAGAGAATGCCAGAAGCAACTCTTGACAGCTGAGGCTATAGATGGGCTTTTAGCTGGATAATTACCCTTTCTTTGCCAGAAATCTCCAGCTGGATCTCCTTCTCCCGCAGCTTCTTCCACTGGCTGTGGTATCTGGTGAGGGGAGTCCCCTCCTGCTGGATCTGCTTCTCCCAGGCCGCCTGACAGAAAACACAGATGTAGATGAGCATCAACCTGACTGAATATCAAGAGTTTTTGCTGAATCTGTTAAATCCCAAAATAATCTGAATACCTTTAAAAAAAACTTCACAGAAACCAGAAGCAGACAAAAAAATGTGATGAGAGTAAAAATATACTGAAGATAAACAGATTGAACGAGATCTTAAAGGTCTGTGTGGATGATATTGATTAGCACCAATCAGATTATCTGACCAACAAATCCAATAGAGCAAACAGACTGCAGCTTCCTGCACCTGTTAGCCTCACACATTTACAACAATTTGTTGTGCAACTATTAAAGTAGACCTATCATGCTTTTAAAATCCTTCTTTTTTAGATTTAAATCATTCAGTTGAGGTTTATAAAAAGTGGAACTGCAACGCTTTGGTATGAATTCCTCCTTATAATTTAATTTAAAGATRTCTAAGCAGCACCAGGAGAGATTAAGTTAAACTTTTCTGCACTTCTAGAGACTCCAAGTCCACAACAAAATGTATTTTGATGACACRTCTCCTTTAACATTAGTGGACTCAAAGCGTCGAGCGTAGAATTTTAAAATAGAGCTACTTTTATTCAGAAATAAAAAAAGTTAGGTGTGTGAGCTCTCAGTGGGGCTGAGGRGGGACACAGGGGTCTGGGGGGCTGTCCACGCTCCTTCGCCTGCACTGACACCTCTACAGCTGCCATGATGCCAAGGAGGGGGATGCCATGGCGACAGCCTCCACTGAGCGGGGAGCTGAGGCGACAGGTGCTGGCGTGATTGAGTCCGTGCACACATACACACACATTGGTTAAATTCACATAAAGGCAATCCTCTTACATTTTGTCCTCAAACGCTCTAGAATATTAATCAGTGATAAACCTAAGTCACATAAAAACAAGTAGGTGTATGTGTGGACTGGTAGCATAATTACAGATCAGGAGATTACTATTGACTCACACACACTCACACACACACAACATCCTCATTAGGGCCCAATTTGCAGTCGATTGTCTGCTTGGCCATCCGTTCGACAACAAGGTCTGTGTGACGTAAATTATACCATCTATATCTGCCTGCGAGGGTCGGCCAGGTCCCTCTGCTCAAACAGGATGCAGTCCAGATCTGTGTGACCGTGCATGCTGAGCACGGCATAATTTAAGATCAAGAAAAGCAGCAGGAAATCATCTGCAAGCAGGTTAGTTGTTACCGACATCTATCTGTCTGACAGAATAAAATGCAAGGCAGTATAATTAAATGAACTTTGGACTGTAAACCACCTAAAAGTAAACAGATATATAAAAATTGGTAAACTTGTGCAGAAAAAAAATAACTTTCCTGTGAAGTGTTATTTTTTTCTGTGTAGCGCCGCCTGCTGTTTGGGAGGGGAACAGCACACAATGATGATCACTTTGAGCGCAACTCCAATATTTTTTTTATCACAACTAAATAACTCCGTGACATGATCAGAGTGCGGGCTCAATCCGCCTTTTAGCCAAGCTCAGAGTTTATACAGAAAATCATCCTTCATTAACCTGCAGCATCTTCTCTAACAGGATGAGAAAGTACCAATGATGTTAGAGGAGGATGAAGGTTTGATAAATTTGTATACATTTTTATAAATAATAAGCTTTATACAGTATATTTGTATTCTAAATGAACATTAATGCTAACAAAAATATTAAATAATTAATAATAATGATGATTCTGATGATGACAATAAACAAACAGCTCTGTTATTGGAATAGTATCGGTACTGGAAGATATCCAAATACAGGTTCGGAAGTGAAAAAAAAAACAAACCCATTGCATTCCTAATTACTAAAGTAATGACAGTTCAACACCACTGACAGTGGATGGATGAAGGGTGGGGAACAGATTGATATTTAAACAGATTTTACTGAACCAAACTGCACTTTAACTTACACTTGTTTGCTGTTGGACAACTTAACAGAACTCAGATTGAAAACTAAACGTGAAATAAAACCACCTAAATTAAAAAGTTTATCATAAACTACTGACACTGATCTCGATTTAGTTTTTAGAAACATTATCAGTTTTTGAGTTGTGAAAAGGTTAATATAGCATGTAAATGCTTTAAAGCTAAGCTAATTGCTCTTCTGTAGGAAAATAACTTCAAGCTTAAAACAAAGAGAATATAAAATTGCAACTAAGCAGACAAGTAAGATTCATTGCRGCATAAATGTTGCTACAATATTTCTACATTATTCTGGTCTTTCATGTGTCATATGAACATCAAGAYGAGAACTAACCTCTGAAGTAACACGTTTTATCAATATCAGTTGGGTTGAAGCCGTTTTAAATGTGGGTGAAACACAGGTGGCAGGTGGCTACCCATGTTGTTACCAAGGAAAAGAAACATTAATAACTCTGCTGTGATTGAAACTGGTGAATTAAAATCAATTCGAGTTACATAACCCAAGTCAGAACAGACTGAGCTGGGGGTTCGGATGCGGGGGCTCGTGCACGTGCGCTATGATGCAGTGTACTTGGCATCTGAAAATACATTTCCTCAAAGGTATTTTTAATCTGAAAADAGCTTCACTGAGTGAGAACTAATGTTGAGAGCTCAGGAGGTAGGTTTCACTTTCACTTTGACCCGAGAGCCTGCAGGAGTCATGGGCGGGGTGTGTGTGGAGGGGGTGAGCTCTGCCATGAGGAAGTTCAGCTTAAAGACACGTCCCAGGGGTGTTTCTGGTACCAAAATGCGTTTCTGCTCCCCACCTGTCGTTTTGCTCCTCAGCATGGCTGCCTACAAACGCTGCAGGATTTCTCAGACATGCATGAATGAGTCAAAGCAAGGCTTTGGGCATGTTTTTTTATGAGAGTATAACATTATAACATGATATAAAACTCAAAAAAGTTGATTTTACATGATATTGGCCCTTTAAAGACAACAGAGACCATGGTGACTTTTGTTTGTAAAGATTTGCACTTCTTGTAGGTTGTAGCGAAAACGAAGCGGGGTTTGACAAACAGCTCGTTAGGTACTCAAACTAAACTACAGTATGTAAACATCTGACTGAAAATGTTCTCCACACTGCATGTTTAAATGTCTTAAAGACGACATTTTAACAAAATCGTTTAGTTACCAATATTATTATTTTTAAACTTTAAGAAACGTCTTAATGAAATCCACAGTGATGGAATTTTGTAGTTGTTTTAATAAGTTATATGTATTACGGTTTAATATTTTTTTATTGAACATAAGAGAAGGTAACAGAAACATTACAAATATACAGTTTTCATACGCTAAAAAGGATTGGGCAGAAGTATATTTATATTAGCCCAGCTCTTCTCTTGCAGCCTTATTCCCATCATGTCTTATTTATCAAAATAATTATCAATTACTTAAAAATGAATGCATCCAACAACACTGTCACCTGCACTTCTTTTTTACTTTAAAACCTTTCTTGACAGTTTTCCTTCAAGATTAAACAGTTCAATTTAAAAGTTTGTCCTTAAAACCTGTTGTTTATGTTGAAGAAAAAATGGTGATAATAAAATAAACATTTTCATTGAATCAAATTGAAATGAATCGAATCGTGATTAATCGATTCAGAACTTTATGAATCGAAATCAAATTGATTTAGAGAATTGGCCATGGTACCTATAACCCCACTCTCAAGATTTTGTAAAATAAAAAAAAAATTTTAAGAGAAAAGAAGATATTCAGGTTTTCATCAATCTGTTGGCAAAGTAAAAACAACATTAAACTTCTCAGTTTTCTTACAAAAAGCACCTTGAACTTGAAATGACTGCATAAAACATGGCAACCGTGGGTGGAAGCAGCTGAAAATGTGTTTTCTGCAAGTTTAAACTTTTCGAGCAGGCAGAGTTAAACTTCTAAGGGTTTCTTTGTATGACATTACCATGCTTGGTTGTTATCAACTCAAGAAAAACAACTTTTATTTTATCTGAGAAAACATGTCTGCTGAACAGCTGCAAGGTCTTTAACATATAAATTACGTTTTTACACAGCTATCGGTAATCTTTTTATTTTATTACACATTTCTGGTTAAATTTCTGTTTTAGTGATCCAATAAAAAAAAAAAAAACTAGCTTATTTAAATAGTTGCACCTACCACAAACGATGCATTTTGACAGGTTTCAATTTTTTGGCTTACATGTGCAGGGGAAAAAAACGTATTTTCTAAATTTTTTTTTGTTTAAGCTTAATAAAAACTTAATTAAAAATATAAATAAAATACTATAAACAAGCCACTGTCCGTCACACCACCTTTCACTCACCACAGCTGCAGAATCAGCCACTCCAAAGGTAGCTTTCTGTCTCCGTCCTTCGATAAAGCGACTGTTCTCCTGTATCTTTTCCAACAGCTGGCGCACTGGCTTGGAGTAATTGGCCACTTTGCATTCCTTCAGGAAAGCTTTCAGCTGCAGGGACATGGAAAAGAAGCATAGGTAAAAAAAAGAAAAAAAAAAACAACCAGCAAAAGAAGATGATCCAATAGTTTTTCTCATGAGATGCATTCAGGCGGACAGTTTGTGTTTGTTTCCCCCTGAGGACAGTAGATTCAGGCTCACAGATCCAGGACATAAACTGTTATAGATGTTTGCTGCCACCGTTTCCTCTCACTGAATCTGTTTTACTCTCTTACTTTGTATTTGTTTTAAGTGAGTCTGCAGACAAGCTGAGTGTAAACACACTTTACCTGGATAACGGTGGGCAGGACGAGCTCAGGGAAGCCGATGGAGTTGGCCTGGGTGTGACAGTACCCCAGGATCAAGTCGTACAGCTGATCAATCAGCCCGTCCTGATGTGAAACAGAGACGCAGAGTTTACACTTTAAAAAATGATAACAGTCAGAGGACTGATGCATTAATCAATGAACGATTCTTAACTTGACTGGTTTATCAGGTGACCATTTGAGCTGACACTCTTTGTATTTTTTTTTTAATTGTGCACCACAGGAAAGTGGCTTTTCAAACTAGTGCATCACATCCACACCAGCTTTTTGTAAAATTTACAATAAAGCTGTCCCAGTACCAGTACTTGCATCAGTACCAATATTGGTACTGGGACGCCACTAACCTATAATATGTTTATAACTTAAGAGGTAAAGGAAGTAAAAGAGGTGTTAAAGGTGACTGAAAGGAAACATTTTTTTCTTTAGTGGAAATACAAAAACAGCAACACTTCTGTTCACTCATTTAAATATTTAAGGGACAGATTCATCAGTTCGCTTCAACTGGCCAGAGAAAACTCAACTAAACCTATCAGATTAATTTAAGTTTAAATTAAAAACTAAAAAGAAGAAAAATGGCAGCTCAGTTCAACCAACCAGGGCTGTTGTGAGTTCATGTGGCAGCTGCTAAGGTGACAGCAGTGAGAACAGTCCCAGCGAGCCAAGTGCACGGGGGATAATCCTAGAGAGCCGTGCTGCAATCCTCTTGGCTGCGCCACTGAGCTTGGCGACTCACAGACAGTTTTAGAGACCTGACGAGGGGCCGTCAGCGCTGCCCTCAATCCCCTTATGCACCAGCTAAGTGAAGCACTCATCTGATCAGCCGCTTTGTCTCAGAGCACCGCAGACACAAACAGAAGTAAACACTGTCTCCTCGATCCCAGTTGCTCACCTTGTAGGCTTTTTCCATCAGGTTGACTTTGTTCAGTTTCAGGATGACAGCGAAGTTGATGGGTTTCTTACTCATTCGGCCTGGTTTTTTGTTGAAGTCTACCTGCTGGAAAATCTATGAAACAAACGCAGAAACCACAAACACTGAAATGTGATCCAAATGGTAGGAAAAATRCATTTTTAAAAAAGAATATAATACATGGAGCTACTACCAGACAACTATTAAAACATGTTTATTTATGACTTTGTTTTAAGACTAGACTTTAAAAATAAATTACTTGTTTGGATGTCATACCATCTTCAAATCAAGATACTGAGTATGTTCATAAATGTTTTATTTGACCAACTAATAAAAATAAGTTCTGCAGCCAACCATCAACCTGGGACTCATCAGGAAAAAAACAAAATGTTGGATGTTCTGTGATATCTCATGTAATATCAGGATATTTTACATGATCTGTTAGCAATTGGAGTATGTGTTGTGAACAACTTCCAGCCACCACCACATCAAARTTTATCCCAAAATCTGTCAAATTTATTGAGATCTTCGTGTTAACTAAGGTTTGATTATCTGTGGCGGTTATCCTTCAAAAATTAATCAGTTGTGGATGTAAATCCAGTATTTATTTTCTGCAAGTTTTATCACAATCTGTTGAGTAAATCGTTAAATTTGACAGTACAGACAAACACATGCCCACACAAACAAAGACAAACAATATTGCTTTACTTTCGCAGGTAATAAATTCTTTTTAATTACCGTATTTATTCAAATACAATACATAAAATTAAATCCATAAACTCATCCATAAAGTTGGGGGGTAGTACTATACTCGGATAAATATTTTTACTTATGTATTTTAACTGAAATATCGGCTTCATTCACAAAATTATTGAGTCTGGAAATGAGACCGCGTCGTAAAAAGCAGTTGAAACAAGCTTACCCGACACGCCTCCATGCTTCAGAGTGAGATAATAACAGATCTAGGTAGGCGACATGATGTAAAAAAAAATGGGGGGGGGGGGGGGGRGTTYTGCACCTTAGTARTGATAACGAACTAATGACATTAGCGTGTGACCGAGCCGCTGCTGGAACAACAACAAACACTTGTTCGTCTGTAACGGCGGCCATCTACCGGTGTTCTGAAAAAGTTTGTATCCCTGAAAAAAAACGTTTCCCCACCAGAGTGGGTGCTCGCGAGTAGGAAGTAATCTGCTTTTCCCCTTGAAGATGGCCCAAATCTCATGTGAAGTCTCTGACTTTTGTGTTGGYGCATCCTGGTGGACTATGTGTAAAATGCCAGAATTCATATTATGCTGCTACAGCTGACATATATTTGTTGTCAAAATACTTTTTAGTACATATGTTGTTAAAATAAAATGAACAGTCCAATGATCATTTTACTGATATGTAGGGCTGTCACAAACGATTATTTTTAAAATTGATTAATCACCGATTATTTTTTCGATTAGTCGACTAATCGGATCATCGCGCCAGAATGCAGCTGCTATTATATAACCATCATTAGATTTTAGCTATATGCTAACTAAAAATAATTGCTGTGGAAGGCAAGATCTTCTCTGCGGATATTGCACAGGTTTCTCTTTCATTTTCTTAAAATGATCCCACACTTTTGAGCTCCGTTGCTGGGTAGCCATGATACCAGAGCCTGTCTGTATAATGTCTTGTGACGTCCACGGCCTACCCCAGTTACCACTACTGTGCATGTGTGTCAAGGACAGAAAGGCAGATGTGGCAGTGGAAGGTGTCAAAGCAGTTTGGAGAGAAAAACAAAGTGAAGAACAAAAAAAAAAAAARAAAATGATTAATCGATTATTAAATTAGTCATCGATTATTTTGATAATCGATTAGTCGTCGACCAAACGACTAATCGTGGCAGCCCTACTGATATGTATAAAGACTGCAAAGGCTGAAAAATCTTGAAGTCTGTATGAAATTTTAGGTAGTTTAAGGATTTAATTTTTTATGCTTTTTAAGCTAAAAAAAGGGGGGGGGTCATCTTTTGCAAGCGATCGTATTATACTTGAATAAATAGGGTAGGTGTGCACTGATAAATCGGCCGATCGATTTATCAGCAACRATTTCCTTAATTTTGCTAGATTGGAGATCGGACAATTCAAACGTCTAAAATCAGCCACTGTCCCCTTTTGCTCTGCTGTGAGCCCTAATGCACAGTTACAAGTTTGTACTGCTTCAATTGTTCAATAAAAAAAAAGGTCCCCGTGAAACAGTTCCTTGGAGGGTGCAACGTAACGTTCCATGTGTTCAGGCTATTTAAATTGATATGTCAGTGTTCAGAAAATTCATATCATAACAAAAATAAAAGCCTGTTTTCGGTATGAACCGGTATACCACCCAGCACTATATTAAACGTGTACTGTGTTCTTAAATATTTGACAGTGTCATTTATTTAGAAACACTAGTATCGACCAGAAATCGGAATCACCAGATCAGACTGTTTAAAGATCTGTGATCAGCAGAAATCGGTGCACAACTATTTTTAATTATTTTGTGAAGTTGCATTTTAGATGAAGTAAACAGGAAATCTAAATCTCACTCCGTCTAAAGACGTTTTCTTGGCTTTATGCGGACTGGGTTTTGGCACTTGCCATTCAACAGATCTCATTTAAAACTGCAGTGTTACCGAGAAAACACATTTTATCTCAAGTCTGTGAAAGTACATTCTAGTCAATGTGTGGGCTATTTGTCTACAAGCTTCAGCTTTCACATCTGCCCACAGTATGCAAGTGAAATTCTGTTTAGTATATGTGTACCAAGCTATTTCTGACTCCGTGTGTGTCTTTGCGTGCGTGTTTGTGTATTTGTGTGTGAGGTCGTTAATGTTCAGTGTGCGCGCAGCAGAGCAACGCTCCTGGCCGGTGCTGTCTGTACAAACATAGGATGTGGTGGCGGTCTGCGGGGGAGCCAGGGGGAAGTGGGAAGGCATGGGCCAACCCTGGTGCGATTGTACACACACAAACATGCACAGCTACTGAAGCAGGAAGCTCCAAATCATACACCCCCCTCGGAGATACGAGAACACACACAGGCACACAGGAGGGGTGGGGGGTGCTTCTGCTGCTCTAATTAAAACAGTAGCAGCGTACCTCAGCCTGCCTCTAACAAGAGGGGAACAGTAAGGGAGAAAAAACACAGGAAGTGTTGTGCGTCACAAATAAACACAGCTTGCTGTTGGGGGTTCGGAGGTGGGGGCTTAGAGAGTGCGGG